CACTTACTCATTAAGCTCAAGTTACATACTAATAAAAAATTCCAAACTGCTCCTTAAATGGAACGCCTGGTTCAGAGAGTCCAAAGCGAGACATTACTCATTTGGAAGAGGTGGAGGTCAGGGTGAGTGAACGCTGGGAACAAGCAGACCTCCGGGAATGTTAAAAACTCCATATGTGCACAAAGTCTAGGCCTAATGTAAAAAATCTTACATATGTGAGAGCAGCAAAAGATAGCAAGAAACCTTGATTTTGCAAGCCTACAGTTTGCTGCCAACACGCAAACCAAACCACAGACACGCACACTCACATCCACATATACTTACACATCTAAATATGCTGTGTTTGAGTGGTATTAAATAACTCTATAAAAGTGCTGCAACAGACAAGAGCTTCAATTTCCAGCTTTGTTGGCTACATCGTCATTACTCAGCGGTTGTTTTGTAACTGGGCATGTCTGTAGCACTCCTCACATGAGTGACCGTGTGGATCCTCTCCAAAACATGACATACACACACACACACACACACACACACACACACACACACACACACACACACACACACACACACACACACTTTACATATCAAACAAGAAATCACAAAGACATCAACCCATACATGGTGCTGTGTGATTTGTTCTGGCAACTTAAAGCAAGCGATTGGTTACTGGCAAGTGCAGCTAGCAGATTGTGGGTTTCTTTGCAGATATGCTTTCCTCCCTCACAGCTGGCATGTGGTGGGAGCAAAAGTCTGCATTTTTGCTTTCCTCTTTTCTTTAAGCTTATATTTAAGACTGTGTCATTAAACAGAGGAGAGCGACAGGGCAGATGGAGGAGACAGAAGGGGGAAAGGTCGTGAACTCAGTCAAGCAGGGCAAGATTACCTTTGCTAGGATCATTCTGGACCGAACCAAATGCTTTGAAATGTGTCTGAGAAACCAAAAAGACACCTCTCAGCACAGATACAGTCAGGTGCAGAAGTATAGCTCTTAAAAAATAAATGATAAATCAAGTAGTTGATCAATAGAGGAAAATAACTTGTCCTAGTAGATACATCAGGAATCGCAGCATTTCTATTTCAACAGTAAATTGACTATAATACTAAATTTAATTTTTGGAAAGAAACAAGTCACTGTCGGCTTAGACTATTGTGAATGGTGTTTGAACTCTTTCTTACTTTTATTGGAATGAATCAATTGGCAAATTAATCAGCAGTGAACATAATTGCTAGCTGAAGTCCTGTAAACTTGAGTAAAGTATCTCAAAGTACTTCACTAAATGTACTTGGTTACTATTCTGTCTTCTAATTCTGTTTTTTAACTGAAATTTAGTCCCAGTCTTTGAGTACCTCGCCACAGAAATACGTAGCTGTATTTTCCAAGGTGCCTTTTTTCTGGCAAAACATAATTCACCAGAAAACAATAGAAGTGTATCCATTTGACACCATGACATCCTTGACCTTTGTTAACTTCATCTCCAAAAGAGCTCAAACTTCCAGGATGTGACTCTCTTGCATGCACGTCCTGACTCTAAACAGCATGAACAGACGGAAACTCCCCCGTAGCATGACTTGCACTATTCTCAACCAGATTTAAGCAATTACATACTGGCTGTGTCCTAAACAGCATACTGTTTATTCTAAATATGAGGTCACGTTGAGTATGTATGTTTCACATTTTTTAGTATGCAACTTCGTGTGTATGCTTGGAATAGCCGGATGTATACTGCATTGGATAGATTATTTAAGTATGATACAGTAGCACACTGGTCATACTAAAACTCCAATGGTGGAGCTGCCAGCCAGCCAACGAGCGGCATGCAAACAACAGTAACTAAACTGTAATATGTTGTCAAAAAATACTGCGTAGCTGTGTAATGAACGTATGCATTTTTATTGAATTCTATTTACGGACCGACAGTGCGCTAGCTTGGTGCTAGCTTATCCAACATAGCTCAGATCAAAAACACATTTATGATGAAGTCCCATAACTTGTCATTCAGCATGTTGCTAACAGCATATTAACGGTCGGGTTAGTATCCAGTACAGCATATACTGTTTGAGTATGTAGTATGCAGTGCGTTAGTATGTGGTTTGAGACATCACCACTAAAAGAGGCACTGAACCCCTCAGCTGAAATCTTCTCCTCATACGGAGAAAGCATGGAGTTAATGTTCCATATTGTTGTTAAGATAGTTTTTTGGTGTGTACGTGTAAGCTGTTAAATGTATGTGAGTGTCAGTAGGAGAGCATGTTTGTGCAATTATCTTCCACATTTTAGTCCAGTCAGGTCTCCCTTTCATTATCTGATGCTCCCAAAGTGTGCCAAGCACTGGGTATGCTTGGACCAGGGTATGTGGTCGCTGCAGCGGGAATTTCTTTGGCACATGCACTGAGCAGGCAGGCCTGCCAGCACGGGGATGGAAGGCCGTCTGGAGCTCTTCCCAACCACTCTGGTTGAACGGATGGACGGACAGATGATAGGAGTGCTGGCCTAATTAAAGCCTGGCTTTGTCTTTAACTTCCACATATGCTCAAATAGAGATTTGTCAGCCTGATAAATTAAAATGATAATCTCTAAATGTACGTTTGTTATCAGCTCGAGGGCTGCGTCATACACACCTGGATCTTCCTGTCATTAGGAAGAATATTATATATATATATATATATATATATATATATATTCTCTTTAAATATATTACTCTTTTCAATATCTCTTCCTCTCCGTCAATAGATACACACAGTGCACAGTAAATGTTGGGTGGGGAAGAGTTTAAATGAGGGATAAATTTGGCGCAGGATAAATCCACGGCTCCAGACACAAGCTCCTAATTAAGGTATTTGAGAGTACGTGTGTATGTCGTATAATTACAGACATCAACCTGAGTGCTGTGAACATGACTATGACAAAATGTGACTTTCTGCCAAAATAGTTAGATCACAATAGAACTTTAAAAGACAATCCATCAGTGTGTGCGGACACAGTGACAATCAAAACATACAAAACCCGTACATATTGTTCTATGAATATTTTATCGTAAACTTTCTATATTTTATCCATGAAAGGAGAGAAAGGTGTACTCTATATCACACAGACATTTTTAAAGGGTATTTTTTAACAGGCTAAACCTGTTTGGAATCCTGTTGGGCTGAAGTTACACACACACACACACACACACACACACACACACACATAAAAATAACTCAAAATTGTAGCCTCAGTTGAATTCATTATTAGTTTTAAAGTGGGTTATTTTCATAAATCATGAATTAAGCAAATTGACCTTTGTAGTTGTTGTCAGGTCAGTATACTTTTGTGGCTATAGTGATACTGCTGTACTGTTTTAGCCAAGAAAAACAAATGATAATCTGCAATAAAAAAAACTTTGATGTCTGGTACTGGTCCAGCAGATGACAATTTTTTTTAATCTAGAAGGGCTCACATGAAGTTTTTAAATGAGTCTATGAACTTGGAAAGAGTTTCTGATCCAACCCTGTCATCTCTGCTCCTCCCGAACTCACTTTTGTAATTTCACTTGATAAAATGTTTTTTGGTGAACCACACCTGTTTCCCTGGAATAGAGAGATACTCACATTTCCCCACCCTTACAAATTACACATCCGGACACGCACTCATGCTCCTGTTCCCGCAAGAAGGCGTGAACACCAAAACCTAACAGGAAACAGGACGATTATCTTCTCGTAAATCTAAAATCTAAAATGATTTTGAACGCTACATCGAATCCTTTGTTCACCTGTTTTATGCTAGGATGGAACTAATGAATAAACTTTTCTAATCCAGGTAAATCCTAAAAACGCCAACACTGTGATAATATTAGGGACTAGACAGTAAAGATGTCACATGGCCCTCTTCTGGAAGTGTGTGCACATGTATGCGTGTATAGTTGTCTATGTCTGAGACAAAGCCTCTTTTTGATAAAAGCATGCAGGAATTTGGCCTCAAACAATAGAAGCCCCTGGCCAAAAATGACAGTCTCAACTTGGTTCTTGTGCGAGTGTGTTTGTAGGATGCCTGCCCTCACCGAACACAATGTGGAGGGCTTCTTACACAGGGTATCTGCCAAATCCACCAAAGTGATGTAATACTCAATGGTGGCACGGTACAACTTCCAATGAGCTATTACACTTATTTCATGTTAATTTTTATATCCCATAGTTGCTTCTTTTTGTTAATTTCAATTCTAAATGCTTTGGAAGCAGAAATAATTTTTACTATCCAAACTGTAATTTTGCTTAAACTGAAATGAGCTGGGCGTCATGTGTATTACATTGATAGTGTACTACAATCTGGGGGAAAAAAAGCAAAACCCGCACTTTTTTTTTAAAGAGAGGAGGATCATACTACTAGTGAGGTCATCACGTATACACATGGCTGTGCGTCAGGCACGCTTTCATTCAGACATTGGGCAGAAGAAACTGGTTCCCAGATGTATTGTAAAGTAATGAAATCAACCTCAATATCAGGTTTTCAGAGACCCATAGAATAAATAAAACGTAGCCTACTTCGACAATATCATACTAATAGGCCTAGGCTACTTTAATACCAAAAGCAGAGGAGAGAAAAAAAACCTTACTAACTGTTATCGTTCATTTAACTCACTACAAGAAGATCACAGCAAAGCATCAAGTCCAAAATAGATAATGGTAAATAATAAAGAGTAAACTCAGTCAACTTGTTCACTGAAAATCCCTCCTGTTTGAGACAGAAACTTAGAAGAAACACACTCCAAACATCCCTTTCCCCGAAATTGTATAGGTGCTTTCTGTATGAGCCATATGATTCCCCCAAGGGCAGACAAAAGTTGATTTCGGCTACATATGAAGATGTCATTTTCCCGCTGTACGTAAAAGTGGTCACGACGGTCGGACAGGCTTTGCGGCGAGAGAAGCCTTGCACGAGCCGGCAGACTGACGAGACTAAACTACCGGCTTCAGTAGCCACTCACATTGTTACTACGAGGTGAAAAAGTAGCAAGGCTTACCTGTTTGGTGAATAAATGGGGTTGAAATCAGTGTCTAGAGAAGAGCATCATTGGTGTAGGACATAGTTGGTAGGTGTGATGAAAGTTCGTCGAGAAACCACAAAGCCGGTAGAAGTGAGGTCCCCCTTTTCTCTCTGGCTCATCTCAGTGTGTGAAAAAAAAAAAAGGACACATAAACACTGAGCTGGCTCAGTGAGTTCACTCTGCGTCATCGCTGCAAGCTGAAACTCTTGTCAGCGTAGGCGCGCGCGAGTGTGCGCCCGTGCGCGTGTTGGTGCGTAAACCCCCTCTGATGGCCGGTGACTCGGTTTCTCGGCAGTGACTGCAGATCGCAGCCTACCTGCTGAAGATGCACAAAGGTGTCTCTCTCAGAGCCAAGTGATGTTTAACTTAATGAATAATAATGATTTAAGGTTATTATTTTTTACCTCCTGCAATTGCGCTTTATAACGACTCCCCTTTCAGTAAGGACAGAAGACATTTAAACTTTTAAACTTTAGCCTGAGTTGCATATATCATATATTAAACTGTATTGTGGGCTCATGTTTTTTTGTATGGGTGGGGTATGTATGTATATATGTGTTGTGTTGTGTGTTTGTATGTATGCTGGCTGCTGGAACACCTACATTTCCCTGCTGGGATGAATAAAGTATATCTTATATTATCTTATCTTAAAAAAGACAGTTGTGTTATATAAATACTCAATAGCTTGGAAACAGACACTTTTTTTTTCTGCCACAAAATTTGAAATAACAGCATGATGTAGGCTAACCATATGGCTTAAGTCAATATAGGCTACAGAAATGTATTGCTTGTAATAATATTAATACATTGGTTACTTGTATTTTTTCTTGTTTGTTTTTAAATGGCCACCTCACCAAACTATGTTCTAATGTTCAGGAAGTATTTCCAGGATCTTCCATTTGGCTTAAAAACTCTTCACACTCTTCTGTCTCTACACATTACAACAGCTTTTGACTTATGCTTAAACAAGCATTTAGTTTATTAAATCAAAAATAATAACACATTTCATTTGTTTTGTTAATTGTGCTGCATGTGTTTGCTGTTTTTCATTTGTAAAACTGCACTACTGTACAATAAGCACAGGCCTTTCAAAGCACATATTATATCCTGTGGCAATGGGAAAAGCACAGGTGTTACTTATAACATGACGATGGCTCTGTTCTATTCCAGTGCCCCAGTAAGCCAGACAGTGTGACAGTGAAACTAAAGAATTCAAACAGTCTGACAGTGAACTTTTAGCAGCTAAAATGATGCAGCCATATAGCTTTAGTTTTATTATAAACACCTGTTCTTTTCCTAAAGCACCATGTCAAAAGTATGGGAAATATGGACACATATTTAAGTTAATAGAAATACACAGATCATATACAGATTTGAAACGTTGTCTTTGTGATGTCCTTAAATAAATATAGGCCCATCCATGGACAGGCGAGTATAGGCCAACGCTATATGTTCTGGTGTATTGCATCGATGTACATGCTTCACACTTGTCCTTATAAGAACATTAAGTTAATAACTGTCGTTACATTTAGTGAACATCTATCTGAGAGTATGGTCATAGTGCTGCAGTTGCAGGTCATTCATTGCAGATAAAATGTGGTTGTTTTTTTAACCATCTCTGAACATGTTTTTTGTTTTTGTTTTGACATTTATAGTTTCTTACTGGTTTAACTTATTTCATATTTTACACACACATTACATTGTATATCTGTAATACCAGTGAATGAAGGAGATTTCCACTGGCCCATGCTTTCTCACTGGGCTAAACCAGTGAGTCAGTGTGAGTCAATGACTGACAATATTCAGTCAGTCATTCATGTTGATCACAGATGAATCTCTGTGTTGCTCCTCTCATTCATCACACAGATCTTCACTGTTTGATGCAGCGTTTGAATACTGTGTGTGGATGGAAGTGGGCCTTCAACTTGTGTGCTTGTGTGCATGTGTGCATGTGTGCTCATGAGGGGGGAAGGGACAACATTTGTTTGTATGTGTCCTGAATAGCCTGCATTCATACGGTTTCATCTATATAGAGCAAGGCTATCATATCACAATACTCGTCATTGTGGGTCATAGGGCTAAAGTCAGATGGATAATGGAATGACACTAAGGCGTGTGCTTAAAATCCAGAGTGGTGACAGAGTGGTGAATCCAGAGTGGCGCCTCCTATAGACTCTGTCTATAGGAGGCGCCACTCTGTCTATAGGAGGTGAGATGTGCAACTGTAAACATGAGCTGAATTTAAAAATATTAGTATATTTTTTATATCATTATAGGTGAATGGTCAATCATTATAGCCAAAAATGAACAGACAACAGGCTGATTCAAGCTTTAAATGTTACGATCATTTTGTCAGTTTATATAAAAAAATAATTAAACATATTAGCAGTCTGAATCAAATGAAAAGTTCTTCCTTACACTTACTGTTAAATGTAAAACCTGTACTTCAACATATCACGTTGGCCTTCTCTAAGGCTCTTACTTTTGCAATTTAATTTTCTCACTTGATGTAAAGTATATCGAAAAAAATTCAACGATCCTACTTTAAATGTTGGCAAAAGAAGAAAAGCACCAACATTGATAAACTTCATAAAAAAAAAGGTTAAATTCCCATCAACATTTCCCAGAGCCCAAGTTGACCGTCCAACAGATTGACCGTTTTTTTCAACGAACACTCATTTTTACATACTTTCATGCCCAATATGGAAGGTCTCTCCATCAAAATACAAATAAAAAAGGATGTGGCTTGATGACTCATGAGGTAGCATGAGATCACTTGAATTAAGTTAACTCGTGTAAACTGTTTCTTGACTTCCTTCCTCTCTCTTTGCCCTAAATAATCATCCGGTGTTTTCAGTGTTTCCTCAAAAAGAAAGGCAACTAAATGAAATCTGGTGTTACCTTAAATTGTCCCACAGATTTTCTTGCTTTGAACATCATTGGCAACATTAAGGATACTTTTAATACACAACTCAGCGAAACAGGTTGGGTGGTTTTTTGGACCTTATGTTCAAATTGTACAAGCTATACCTCATGGGATACTTCTAATTATTGTATTAAGTAGACCATTATCTAACATTATTTTCCATGATGTAATAATTAGCATTTAAAGATAAAATATGTTGGTACTGTGTTACATACATATATGTTTTCTTCAAAGTTTTATCAGACTTCACATCAGCAACTGAAGAAGGAAAGGGAAAAACTGGCACCAGTGATCTGATTTATTTACAAAGAGGAACCCACAGTGACAAAACAATAACAGCTACATACAGGAAGTAAATCTGTAAGACTGTAACCATTTCCAACAGAGGCCGAGATAAACAGAGCCATGGTGACCAGGTGGTCAGCGGACACCTACCAGGTTGTTTCCCTTCCTGTAGACATCTGTAACAAGACAAAACAAACGCTTTGGAGCATACACAGCTAGCTGTGGTAACAACAGACGCCATCTTGCTTTGAAAGAGATATAATTTAGACATCACTGACTTCGCATGCCAGAAGGAGAAGTGGGACAAAATACAAAAAAAAAGATTAAAGAAAAAATAAAACAGACAAATATATAAAAATATGCCATTAGATTCATATCAACAATTGAGGACCATGGGTGCACTATTTACAGAAAAAGGAAATATACCAATATTTACAACAATAAAGACTTCTTTCACATACGGGCAGGAGGGGTTATATTTCTGAGAGTTACAGTGAAAATAAGAAGAGGTGAGGGTGAAAAATTTGGTGTCAATTTTCCATTCCTTAAACTGTTACACAATGGCTTCATTTTCTATATACTCATGAAAAAGTGTCGAGTTTTACTTGGAAGGCGTGTACGCGTATGTGGGTGTTGTATAGCTGTCAATACACTGGGTTCACAATCTTAAATGCAATTGCTGAAATATGATTTCTCACTCTTTAATACGTAAAAGACTGCCAAAGAGAAATGTATTGTAAAGAAAATACTTTGTCAGGTTCCTAATGGAAAATCTTATTTGAAAGCTTTCCAACCATGATAAAAATTTGTGAAATGCCTGATCAGAGCCGCCAAACTAAATATTCAGTCATTGTACAGACCTGTATGGTAGTAGTTTTGTGCTAACCAGGGACCTTAAAGCTAGCAAACACACTTTAAAATCAGTAGCTGGGGGCCCACAATTGATGTTATTTTCTGCTTTCCAACTCACAGTCTAGTACAAGCTGCTCCAAATGTATTAGACAGTATCAAGAGGTTGCAATAATTTCATGTATTTCTGTGGGATCATCATTTTCAGTGTCCACAGCACAGATATATATGACCTTCATACTGCAGAGAAGGATCCATTTGCTCAAGCCCACAATAGATACAAAGCATTGAAGCTCTCTTGGCAGCTCTGGCAGTAAGAACATTCGCTACTTCATACAGGAATAACTGAACATTTAGAAATAAACTTGCTCGCTGTTTATTCTATAATGTGATGAAAAGAGTGTCTCATGTCTATTTTCAAAATATGGTGAGTGTGGGTTAGCTTATCTTAGCGTCAAGACTAGAAAGGCAAAGTGATTGCTGTCATTTGCAAACAATACAATAAATATTATTTGAATGAAGAAATGGCATGATGCAAACCAATCAAATACAATATTTTAATTTTAGTTATTTTTCCACATTTCCTTTGACAAAGCAAGGGTAGTTGTTTGCGAGTCATTATGCTAGGCTAAGCTATCTGCTCATGGCGGATGTTACATCATTTTTGACCATACAGAATAATAGTAATTTTTTCACCTTACTCTTAACAAAAAAAAACCTGAATTAGTGTATTTTCAAACATGCTTCACTATTCCTGTAATGTACTACAGTTCCTAAACAATCTTCAACTGAATTATCACGGGCTAACAGGTCACTTGTAGAGGGTCCACACTGACTGTAAGGTCGACACACACAAGGCGAGGATATCACAGGCTAGTTAGCAAACTATCACAACAACCAGCAAATCCTCTTAGCTGTTAGCTGCTTTGGCAGAAGAGAATTGACCTAATGTGGATGAGTTTGTAAAGTGGGAAATCTGAGGTGAAGGGCCCAGATGGCTAGCAAAGTGCAATGTTTTTTTTTTACGCTTGGAGGGATTAAAGACAATCACTGCTTAACCCCCAAAGCTGAGGCCAATGTGCGTGCAAGGACAAGTCAGAGACACCCTTTTACTTCACCAGACATCTGCTGCAAGACAAGGGAGACCTGACTTTTTTATTCTGTGTGTGTATGTTTAATTGGCTTTACTTTTAGCCCTCTGAAGGCACGTGCAGGCACTCAGCATTTGTCCCTCTGACCTACTCTATATCTTGTGTGCTCGCCTGCTGCACATACCAACAACTTTCATCTTGTTCTCCAACAATCAATACTGAACGCAGCAGCGTTGGTGTAGGTTTGTTCATTCATGGTAAAAACCAAACATCTTGGGACTATATTTCCATGTAACAAAATTGCAACCAGCAATAAGCTGAAAAATAACTGTAATATTAAACCAATGTGACATTCTTGCCCCCAGACAGTCACTGTGTTTTCCGTCTCTTTAAGATGTGTTATGAATGAGGTTCTGATACTATTAACTTTGGGATTGATTAGGGATCTGGAGCAAACTGTCAGTAGATGAATAGAGTTACTATTACAAAAACAAACCTCCAGCTCCACTCCTTTCAGGGTGGGTGTCCAACATTTATGGAGTCGTACAACTCCAAGAAGTCTGTATTTCTTATCTTACCATATCACAAGTGGGCTGAACTAGAAACCCCAACTGTGTACGTCTGCCTGCTTAAACCCTACACGCCCGTTTGTCTCTTTAATCAATAATCAAGCCAGGTACTCCCTGTTCTTTAACTTGAAAACAAAAAAAAGTGAAAGCTACATCTTCTATAAATTAAGTGCTGTAAAAGAAGGCACTAAAAAACAAAAACCATAAATACTGTACAAAACTATCGCAATCTCCTACCACACAGCCTGGACTCATCTTTGAAGAGTACGAAGCCCCCCTGCTGATTTCCACTCGACTTAATGAAATCACAGGGCAAAAGAAACCTTTGCAGATCCCTCACGTTACAACTTCAACACAAACGAGGCTTTGGCATAGTCATGTTAAGGAGGAATGTCTCCAATGCACTTTGTTTCCTGCTCAACTCCAAAGATGGGTTTCATCTGTGTTCATGTCATCTGAACCTGTGCAGCAAAACTTAAATAAGAAAATCAAATACAACGTGTTTATCTGTGTAAAAATAATGTCTTTATGTTCAGTGAGTGAAGGCTGTGCATTAAAGTGTGTGTTTATAGTCCTGTCGGATATCCCTGCAACATATTGCACTTCAATGAGGCTCTTAATAACTCTTTCTCTACAGGAGTGAAGATGATTTTAGCAGTCTTACATGAACAGATATTATTACAACCATAGCAGGACTATCTGATCTCAGGTCTCAGATCAGCAAAATACTTTGCACACAGACATCAACCCATTGTTTCTGCAAAGCTTGAAGCCTAGCTTTAGAATATCCATCAAACTGCAGTCTGCATTGGTACCATGATCTTTGTTTCCTTTCGTACATTTTCACGTATGTTTATTACATTAACTGTACCTCTGAGCATCAAGAAGCTTTATTTAAGCAGGCCAGGCTAAGATGAAGTGATGATGGAGCAAATGGTTCATGTCCAAAGTCAAACTCCTGTGCATTGACATTCTGCAGAGTCAAACTCCTCTTCTGTCTTTCTGCACTTGTTCTCAGTCTGAACGTGTGCATTTGTCAAAGTTTCTCTTCACAGTCTTCTTCTCCTTCAGTATAGACTTCATTATAAAAACACCTTTCCAGACAACACAAGCAGAAACAGACATGCACAGATACCACTTGGTGAGGAAAATGCACATCGTCTGCAACAAAAAACATCAAAAAAAGTCTTGGTCTGAGTATCCAGGAGGGAGCATGACAACCATAACTTGCACATAGAAACTGCTGGATTGAGCAGAAGACCAAAACAACAACACCAAAAAGTGAGGAGTCTGATTGAGTAGGAGGACAGGAGCTTGTGCGCTGCACCCCGGCGAGTGGGATGTTTTGATGGGTTGGTCAAAGTGCAGTGTTGATGGTCTCAGACCCGCCAGAGTAAAAGATGGTTGGTACTGTCATCCCGTCCGACTGTTTCGCTGCTATTGGTCAGTCTAAAGTCCTCATAGCCGTCACCACCGGAGATTACTAGATGGTTGGTTTTTGGAGGGATGTGTGCAGACGCTCGGCGGCGTGCAGAGTCATGCCTTTGCAGTTTCCCGTCAACTGTGCTGCTGCTCTGCAATTGGTTCCCTAGAAAACATTCATGATCGGCATTAGTGGGAAGAGACAAGTAAAGTAACTTTTATTCAGTTCAAGCAGACACAAGTTCACAAAAAAAAAAGACTACCTGTGGAGTCAGCAACTGTAGGAGGGAAGTTCATATCAAACCCTTCTGGTAGTTCAATTGACGTCAAGAAACGAACGTGGCCTGTGTGTCCATGAGCTGAGCCCATAGGCGACAGGGGGGTTTTCAGTGTCCCAGCCCCAGTTCCTGAGCTCACTGTTGGGATTGCCAGCGTAAGGACCACCCCTGCAGAAGAACACCTGCTTTAAAACCTGACTTTTTTTTGTTGTTGAAAATCCTACAATGATCTTTGTCAAATTTTAAATGCTAAAATAACAAATTAAAAAAAAAAAGTGCTTGTACCTGCACTAGTGCCGATCCAAAGCAGATCCTTACAGGCCAGCAGTGCTGTGATTCTCAGACAGGCGGCCTTGTGCTGTCTGATGATTGCATCTGCACCTGAATGGAGAAAAGAGAGAATACAAAGGAGATCAGGGGAAGAGACAGTGGTAAGGGTAATGAATAGATAGAGATTAGAAGGTACAGGGAAAAAGACTGAGCATTGACAAATTAAAAAATCTGGATGAGGACTGCGTAAAGGCAAATAGCTTCACTAATAAGCTTTGTCCAGGCTTACATTGTATAACATCTATCTATCTATCTATCTATGTGTATTTCTGTATGTAACACTTGCAGGTGCTCATATTCTCTTTGTGTTTTTTACCTGCAAGCATCTTATGCACAGCAGGCGCCACGTCCACCTCTGTCAGGCTCTCCAAGGTCTGAGTGTGGTACAGTTTGACCTGAGCGCTGCCCTGCAATGCCAACCACACACCCTGACCGTACGCCACCAAGCAGGTCACACACCGGCTGCTGTCTGAACCCACCTGGAACCAGTGCTGAAGAGAAAAAGGGGCGAGATGAAAGAAACACACTGACTGGTCTGTTTGGCTCTTCATTAATTCACCTGGACATACATCTGTCCATATGTCCACCTACCTCTTGTACCAGTGTAGTTGTGTTGATAATAAGGACTCTGTTCTGGGAGCCACACCACAGCTTTCCTCCCACAGGAACCATTTTGGTGACAGGGCTGCTTGGTGTGCCCAGAACTAATGTCTGGGAGGACTGAGGGTCCCAGAAACTACCTGCAGATTGAGAGACAGATTTTAATGGAAGATACAAAGAAAACAGAAACATAAATCAATGATGTGTTCTTGTATTTGACGAGGGTAGAAGACTTACAATGTAAATGTTTAAAACTTTTAAAAATGCAATGTCAAATAATTAATTAATTATCAGCACTCCAAATGGATGCAGAATAGACCAAGGAACCAATCACCTCTCACTTCGAGCTTACCTGCTTCTCTTTGATAGACAATCACCTCTCCATTGGCCAAGGACACAAAAACTTTGTTATCCAAATACCTGCAGGATGAAAAAAAAAAAATTGAATTGTCTTTAAATAAAATACTTAATCCAGTGTCATCATTTTTAAAGGCAAACTTGTGGCAAGCGCAGCGACTCACAGTATACAGAGGATGGAGGCTGAGTGCTGCATCTTCATGCTGTTTTTACGGTTCCGGATGTTGTCTGAGGATTGGTACACATGGATGCTAACAGAACCAGAAGTGTTAAAAGAAGTTTAGTGATTAAAGAGTAAAACAACAGGCATTTAATATTTAAACACAAAAATAGATTAGGCTATACTGCACTATGTGTTTTTGGGGGCATTACTCACCATCCATCCTCAGTGCCCAGCCACACTGAGCTCTGGTAGGCCTCCGGGTCGATGCTGAGCAGGTCTTCCAGGCTCGCCCTTGTGAACGAGCCCCGAGAGGAGCGGCGCATGGCGCGTCCGTCCATGGGGCTCTCCGTGTGTGTGCGACCTCCTCCTCCTCCAACCCCCAACATCATCCCTTGAGTCCCATAGGAGCTGGCCACAGGGAACTCCTGCTCCTCCTCGCTGCTGGTGGTCTCTGTAGCCATGTCCTTGGAGCTCGGACCCTCGTCATCTTGGAGAGGGGAAACGATGTTAGTATGTCAAGTTTGTGAACTTGTGTGTGAGGCTGAAGGTTACATGTGTGTTTTTACTCACTGCCATAGCTGGATGATACGGTGGAGTGACTGGCCTGGCTCTGCAGAGTGGAGGAAGGGCTGGGGGAGTCCTCGTCGTCTGTGTCATCACTGTCGAAAGGAACAAGCTCCGCCCCTGATACTGGAAATCAATTGATCACATCATCAGTTTACATAAAATAGCAGTACATAGAAAAGCAGTAGAATACAAGTCAATTAAGTGTAATATTTGATAGTATTTGAATTCGTAACTCCTGCTGTCTGTCAAGTTTAAAAACCTTCATGGACCAACCTGCAGGTTGCTCTGTCAGCTCCAGAGAAGAATGAGAGATCGATATGTGGAGGTGCTGCTGCTGGGTGTGACCAGGCGCTGTGGAGGTAGGAGCAAAGGTGGCCTCTGATCCACGCTCCCTGAGGAGAGAAAAAGGATGGGTTGAAGGCAGAGTATAATAGGAGGAAATGAGGAACATTGTCAGCAAACCAGTTAGAGGCAACAAATCTTTCAACAGAAGTTTATGTTTGATATTCCAGCTCTACTTGCTGGTTTTTCTATATAATTACATTTCAATTCAGACTGTCTACACTGGACCAGCTCATCACATTGCTAAACTTGAACCTTTTGGATATCTACAGACAGAAATAGGATCCAACCTCTACTTCAACCTTCTTTTTCATAAAATGACTTAATGTAATTATAGTGAACTTAATGTCATTGTAAGTGATTTATCTAATAAAGTCATTAAGATTAATAATGATTGATTGATTTATTACATTACAATGCAGGTTTTCTTCAATCTTATTGAAGGACCTTTACTCTGTCACTGGTGTTTTTACTACTAAAACAGAATGTGTTTTATTTTTGTGGACTGCCTTTTATTCAGACATAACCACTTACTCTGTGCAGTCTAATAGTACCTGTGTATGACTTAGAGGAGTATGAAGATGATTAACACAAGCACTACAGTTGTATGTGTATCTATGTGCTGTTTGAGTTCAAGCCTTCAACCACACTGTAGCTCAGACCTCCAAAGTCATCCTCTGTGTGTTAATACAAATACACAAACACAAAATACCGACCTTCCCTTGAGTCCCGGTACAGCAGCGATACATATGATCCTTGCCGAGCAGACAGCGATGCAGGCCTCCACTGTGGGCTCATCTTTAATGTTCAACAGACACACCTGAAGAGAACAAGAAGCCACGATCAACACATCAGCCAATTTTTGCAGAATTCAAACTTTGCTTTAAAAAAAAAAACTAATATAACACCTCTGTTATTTTGTGAACCAGAATACACTGCATGAGCTGAAAGTTCAAATGCAGATAACAACAAGTTTATGTTCTTTACCAACTGAAAGACCAGGTCACTAAATGCACCTGTGGTGGTCGCTGTTGAAGGCTGTAAATTCTTACAAAGACCTGGGTGTTTTAATTGATGAATCTTTTAATTTTAAACCACATGTGATGTGCCTGGTGAAAAATATGTGGCTAAAACTAAAACTTCTATTAATAAAAAAAAACATCTTGTTGCTGCAACTTTTTTTTTTACCTGTTTTAGACTATGGTGATGTTTTTTGTACATGCACGCCTCCTCTCAGTGTCTCCATATGACTGATACTGCTTACCATGCATCCTTGAGGTTCATAACAAACTGTAAAGCACAGACTCACCATTGTGAGTTGTACTCTCATGTAGGATGGCCTGCTCTGGTGACCCCTACGCTCATACTTGTTCTTCAATTCTTGTTCTGCTCCCACACTAACTACAGTGAGTGTTTTTATCATGCAGAACAGTACTGGAGTGTATTCTTTGCGTTCTGAGGACCTCTTCATGCTCTCTGACCCAAATGCTCAGACAGAAGTTGGGTAAAGAGCTTTTAGGTTTTCTGCACCCTCAGTCTGGAATCTGTTGCAGAAGGACTTCAAAATCAAGGACATGGTGTCCTTTAATGTTTTAAATCTAAAATGAGAAGACATGGAAGGAATCTATAGGATGGCGATTGTTTAACCTTGCCTGCTTGAACTACTCCCAGATTTGACTAATAGATGGTTCTCTTTTAATGCAAATGTGAGTGTTTTGTAAATTGTACTTTGTCTCCCCCTGTGTCTCTGCCTGTAACCTTGTGTTTTTTGCTGCTGACTTGTCTTGGCCAGGTCTCCATTTGGAAAAGAGGTTCTTAATCTCAATGGGACCAACCTGGTTAAATTGAATTAAATGTACAGTGTTTTCCTACCTGTCCAACGTATCCATCGCTGTTACACACCCACACTTCACAGCCACTGTCGGGACAGCTGTGACTGGGAGACGCACATGAAAACTGGACACAAGAATCAACATTTAAGTGAATATGAATTTTGTAGATGTGAAAAGATGTCTCAATGTAGACCTAGGGTTTAAATGACAGACATGAATCCTGTCTATAACTTCATAAATACAGAAGTTATACACCAGGTTTCCTCTGCTGCTCTCACCTGCATCCCACTACGTGTCTTCATGATAGGAATGGCCTTCAGAAACTCTGGATCCCACTGGTCTTTATTCATCGCTGCACACAAAGACATAATGGCAGTTGTACGCGTAAATAAAGCAGCTCTAGGCATCTCTCTCTTTCCTATGTACCTTGCTTGAGCACATTAAATTACATCATGCATTTTTAACTGACCTAGCTTCTTCTTGGCTTCTTCAAAAGCCTGTTCAAAGTGGGACCGTGTGTCCGGTGAGCTGAACTCAAAGACAAAGCTGCTCTCAGCGGAGGCCGTGGTGAACTCCATCTTCGTGGGCAGGCAGGTCATACTGAAGGCCAGACACTGCTTCTCTGACAGCTCCCTGTGCACAGACGCCATCAGATCCTTTATCACCTCGTCCAGGGACTGCGAGAACAAGAAAGGGACACGAAAAACATCAAAACCTTCAGATGTTTTTTTTACAACTTCACGGAACAGACAACATGAAAGACCAATGCAGTACCTGGTGCGGGAAGCTGAGGTTCTCTGAAAGTTTGCTGATCTGACCCAGAGTGCCGAGATCCTCGTCTAGTCGACTGATCATCTTCTGGATGCTCTCCTTGTTGGTTGCCTGAGTTGAGCCTGATGCAGAAAGGTTTGATTAAGAAAACTTCTGAAGGCAAAGAACATAAATATTTAAGAGACTCCTTCATCTCCAGAGTCATGTGAGGAAAAAATGACAAGGCAGCCTGTTTTCTTTCCCCTTGCAATCAGTTGGATGTATGTACTTATGTGGTCTGAAGGTGCCTTACTTTTTACCACCTCCACGTCTTCCAGGGGAAGCTTCCACAGGAACTTGTATTTACTGGAAGTGTCAATCATACTCGCAGCTGAGTATCTGTCAGTGAGAGAGCAACAAATGAGAAGACAGAAAGACAGAGGCAAAGGACAAATGGAGACATTTTTTATAAAGGATTTCATTTTATTAAACATTGAATGTCTGTTTTTTAACACCAGGGGGCAGTGTGGTCTGGAAATTATATTACTGTGTTTGATTTTCCTCTCTGTCAGTGTGTTTACGTGTGTTTATGTGTGTGTGTGTGTGTGTGTGTGTGTGTGTGTGTGTGTGTGTGTGTGTGTGTGTGTGTGTGTGTGTGTGTGTGTGTGTTTGTGGATTGCATACAGGCTCATGGAGCTGCGTCTCAATGAGCCGGACTTCCTCTTGAGAGTGGTGCAGATGATCAGATCGCTGAAGAGGAAAAGAGAACGGTCTTTTTTCCCTCCGACAGTTTTCTACACAGAGAGGGAAGGAAAAGAAGAAGAGCTCAACAACTCCATACTAAGTGTCCATGACATCATCACAACAATTGAAGCTGTATCTATAAAAAGTTTACTTCAACAATATCTCTTTTTTTAGAGTATAAAAAAAAGAAAAGAATTGCACTGTGTATCTTACCGCCTCCATGACCATTTCCTGTCTCAAGAACTTCCTCTGGGGGTTGAGAATCTAACACAAACATAAACAGAATGAGGTGATCATCAATTCCATTCCATAAAAGACAACTGTGGACTGAATGCCTTTAACTCTTCAGAGTTTATCAATTTAAAAGCCTAATAAATTCTGCAAGACTTTGTCAAAACCTTTATCAACTTTATAAGACAAAGGCAGAAATCAGCACTAAGCAGATGAGAATCTTTCTATAAATAAAACTCTCACATGTTCGACTCCCTCTATGTGCGCCTCGATCTCCTGGATAACCCTCGCCTCCCGTTCTGCCTCCTCAGCCGAGCGACGGCCCTTGTTGATCTTCTCTGCCAGCCGCTTGATGTCCCTCTGGGCGTCCAGCAGGTACGAGTGGTCCGGGTGATCTTCTGAGGTGTGCTTCAGCAGATCCTAGAAAAAAAAAAAAAAATGATACAAATTTAAATATATGTACCTCCTGTTACATGAGCGTCTTCCACTTAACACAAGGTTAACTTATAAAGAAAGTGTTGGAATTTAGTTTTTGTGATATGTCACCTTAACCAGCAGCTCATATCGAGGAATCCTCTGGACCGGTTTGATCATCAGATCCCCCAGAGCCTGTTTCTCCTTGTTCTCTCGCATGTTTTGCTGGTGCAATGAAAGAAGGAAGAGAATGGTTATGAGCAGTGGTGTAGTGGTGCCTAAAGAAGTCGGCATACTCTCTTTTTTGAAGTGGCTCGTCCAGCAGAGGATCAGCTGCCTCTGTTATAAACAGTGACATGTAAGACTCCTTTTGAATATTTAGTAAGTGCATATAAGTCAATTAGTGACAGAGCAGGGATGAGGGAGAGTCATCCCTTCACCATCCTGGGGAAAAAAATGGCAGCACACCACGGTTTTTGTCATTCAATCATTGGTGTGAATCAGAGGGCATTTAGAAGAAGGTATACTCGATGGAGACTGAAAAATAAGTGGGTATACTCTGTATACCTGCGAATACCCTGCACTACACCAATGGTTATGAGAAGGAGAAAATCAGTGGTACTGAAAATAGGTTACTCTAAACTCAGGTCTGTGTTGCACTTCTTCTCTTTACCACAAGATGGCAGAGTGGTTCCATGTGAAAAATCTCTTTCTAGCATTGAGCTCAGGTTAAAAAACACATGTAAAACATTCTGATGGCATAAAACAGTGAACAGCAAAGCAAAATTAAATTGGACATGTTGCTTAAATATGTCCTGGTATTTATGTCTAATTTCCCTCATCCAATAGCTTTAAAGAGAGTGTTTGTAGGAAACTTCCCAACAAAGTTTTTACTTACAGTTAAATAAAAAGGGGAACAAAAACATGTTAATCTAAAAGAGGAGATACAATTAAATAGAAACTGACATTGTGGTTACACTTTAGATCCTCACGGTATATAAAAAACAGAACATCTTAAGAGAAAAACTATTTGAAGGGAGCTCTTGTAGTTTCTTTGTCCCTATGTTAAAGCATTGTGTATGAATTCATTTCTGTTCTTCATTAGAGACATAACCACACACACTTAAACTGATTCTAAAGTCTGGTTCCTGCAGGGAAAGAATATTCAAGAGTCATGGCAGCATGCAAAACAGGAAGCGTACAAATATTATATCACACAAAAATAAAACTGACAAATAGAGACGACAAAGCACTTGTCAGACTTGACATTAGCCGGACGAAGTAGCAGCACTAATTTTTAAAACGCTCAAAGATGGATTCAAACATTCTAGTCTGGTTCTAGGATTTCCGCACAAACACAAACACAAACACAAACACAAACACAAACACAGCCAAACAGGACATCCTGTGACTCAGTCCAAAACTCACCTCCAGAAACTTGTGAAAGGCTGGCTTGGCCTCCTTGGCAATCCTCACTGCATCTTTGGCATTGAGAAAGTTGTCAATGTACGCTGAATACATATTAGCTAGAGCCTCTTTGGAGAACTGCAGAAAAGAAGATGAACAGGAAAAGGACATGAAAAGGACATGTTCAAGTGAAGGTCTCTGCATCAGTTGTTTCTTTCTGTGACATGAGCTTTCGTTGACCTTGAGTAACCTATGAATGAATGAATGAATGAATGAATGAATGACCTTTATTGCCACTAGAGAAATTTGCCTTACATCACATTATGAAAAGTAATATATGTGAGGTGTTGGTAGAAGCTTTATGCAGCTTTTACAGCTAAAACAGTTAGTCAGAGAGTTGATTGACAGAAAAGAGACAATAATGTGTTTCTTTATTTACCATTTCAGTCCTTTTCAAGTATAATGATTGGTTCTAGCTCTTAAATGTGTTGCTTTGTTGCCTTTCGTTGTTTTTGGCATTTTAAAAGGTCACATTTTAAATATAACACGTTTGGCTTTGGGACTGTTTATCAAACACATGGATTGCTCAACTTGTTGTGAACATGTTTCTGTATTCTCAGCTGAATGTTTACATTTGGTGAAACAGTCAGGAAATGAGAAAAGAGAGAGAAAGAACTTCAAGTAAATGTGCTCCATGTGTTACATTTCTCCCATTAAATAACATTTAGTAACATGTTACATTAAAAGAGAGATGATTTCATAATTCTCGGTGTAGGTAGTTTATTTTTATTTGTTTTTGCTGCTATTGAACATAATGTAAGAGACTATTTCTGTTCTGTGTTCTACTTTCACACAAACAAACAAAAACACACACACAAACACAGATGATACTTGTTGACCTGTTTTCTTTCTATGATTGGAGGACAGGGGACGAACAGAGACAGAGCTAAAAAATAAGAATAAAAGAAGTAGAACGTTTTCTTATGTCATTTATTTTTGATCTAGTTTCACAATATTGTTGAACCCTTATCTGACACATTTTGAAGGTTTCTGTTAGGAGTATAGTTAAAGATATAAATATGTTTAATCCATTGTATTAAGCTTTTATTTCCTGTGTTCATATCTTTTGTCAAAGGGGCCGGTTGATATGGGTTTGGAATACTTTTACTTCCTGGACGCATGAATAAAAATGATCCTTGAACCTAAAATGCAAATGCAGTCGTGGTAAAGTAAAACACGACTAATGATGCTAGACATTGTGTACATTAAAGCCTTAAAAAAGCAGAAAGAGAAGACAGACACACACATGTCAAATGCTTAACACTTCACACAGACATTTCCTATAAAAGCATACGACTGCTCTGTGGATTTTTATTTTTACAGCAAACACTGGAACAAAACACTGCCCCGTGTGAGGCTCGAACTCACGACCTTCAGATTATGAGACTGACGCGCTGCCTACTGCGCCAACGAGGCCTGCAGGATGTGCAGCTGCTTCAGCTTTAAGAGCAGCAGCAGAGCAAGAACGGGATGGGGGAGGGGAGGCCGCATATCAGGAAGGGAGGGAGGGCTGTGTGAGCAGTGTGGAGGATCTGCAACTAGACAGAAAAAAACACACCTTTCTGTAAGAAGCTATTTCAGATCTTGTTCCTGTATTTTCTTTAAAGTGCAAAATAACCTGCTTGGTTTCCACTTGGTGGTTTTCTGCTCTTCCTTGCATGGTGCTTGTGTGACAGTTTGTGTTTCTTGTGAGGGGTTTGTGAAACTTTTTCGTTCAAGCTGTGAGCGACAACAAAAGCATTAACATAGCAAAGCAGAATGAGGAGTTTTTTTTCTTCCCCCCACTCAGGGAAAACAAAGCCTGGAGTCACAATGCATTCTGGTCTGACTACGAAGCACCTACAATATGTGATTCGTCTTCTACAATGAAACCCTGGCTTTATGTTCAAAAACAAGCTCTTTCGCTTGGGCATTCTCAAAGACTGAGATTGAGCCGAGCATGGATGTTTCAGAGCACTGCTTTTTAAAGTCTCGGTTCAGAGGCACCCGTGGGTCATGGGAAATGTTTAGTGGGTCGCCAATAGGTCAGCGGGAAAACAAAATGATAGTTTAGTGTTGCCAACTATAGACCCAGTCTTTATAAAAAAAACAGCCTCTGCTGCTTGTTGAAACACTGTGAGGGCATCTAATAAAATGAGGTGACCTTAATAAAGACTTTTTTTAAATTAAATCTTCCGGAAATTCCAGACATATCATTGCCCTCATCTTATGTTGCAATGCTAATAAAAACAAATAGACCAGAGAGGTTTAATAAGGACAAGAGAAGCAAAGGTTACTGGGTCTTTTTGAACAATTTCTAGTGTTGTTTCTATGGTTTGCTGCTCTAGTATGTGAGTTAACTTGTTTCCGTTGACTCAGGCTGAATGAAGGACTACACACTACAACACTTAAGTTTATAATGTTACACAAAACCACATTTAGGATCTCCTACATCTCTTGAATCCATCAGCAGCCCTATTGCTTTCAAGCTAGATGATCTCCAGAGAGGTGCAGAGATGACTTTACTGTCAGAGGTTAAGTATCTCACACTTTTATCTTACATGTCACAGACACAAGCTAACAATGCTAACATGTGCTTAACACATACTTCACCAAAGAAAGAGATAGCTATCGAACACAGCAGACGGGCTCTTTAGTGACTTGGTTACAATCTGCAGTTACTTCTTTTTCCAAAAGCCAAAAATATAGGAAGGGGATTAGAAACCTGATTTCCATAGCTAGATAGGAAGATGGTTTTCTCTTCCATGTGTAAGGTTTAACAGTTTTATAATTGCCCTTTCAAGTGTTTTAATGTTTAAACATAATGCCAGAGAAGATGGATGTAATTCATTCTCATCTCCAAACTGATACTAACCACAGTCATATCAAAAGTGACACTGGCTTTAAGTAATCTTCAAAGGACATAAAATATTCAACTCTGATGTCATTTATCAACATCTCTACTCACCGATTGGATGAGGATGTTTCCGACGGTCTGTCTGTCGTTCCATTGGCTGACGCAGTTGGCCACTTGCTCCAGAAAGTGCTCGTGGTGCTCCAGGATCTCAGGGATCTGGTAAAACATCTCGTCCACGAGCAGAGGGTCGACTATGGAGCCGCCGTCTGGCTGTTTGAGAGGACGCATGTAGCCCTGTAGGGACAAGAAAACCAGTTTCAATACATTTCAAATAATTTCCATTTGCATGAGGATTAGTAAAAAAAAAAAATGATTGGAGGTGGTAAGTTGCTAAGTTGTCATGGGGCTTAGTTAGCCTTCACATAACACAGGAAGGGAATGTCAGTCAGGCATTCTTAAAGGGGCGTGACACAATAACAACTGAGCAAACTTCATCCACTGATGAGGAACATAACATGCAATGTAAATGTCCAGAAAAAGTTAGAGGACCATGAGAGAGAGGAATAGTTCAACATTTTGTTCATAGTCTTTATTTGAAATAGTTAGATAAAACACACTGATACCACTCATGTGGAAGCCAAATGAGGAACTTTCCCCAGCTATTTCCATCATTGCCCTAAGAATTCTTGCATTCATAATACATTCAATATTTGTTTACACTAGCATGTTCCCAATTACATATGAATGCGTGTTGACGGGAGGTTTAGCAGGTGGAGAGATGTGTTTTCTGTGTAACAGATGGAGAGAGGAGTACTGTTTGTCCCTTTTCCCTTTCGCTGCCTCTCCTGTACAACAAGGCTACATTCATGTTGCTATTATTAGAAAAGGCCTCTAAATATTTTGTTGCCCGGCAATACTCCCGGCACACGTGTAAGAAAAGATTCTATTTCGCAAGCATGTATTTTTGTTTCAAACTAATCGTGCATGTCGGTGAGTTTCATGTGAAAACATGCAATATGAATATAGTGCAGAAAACACAATAGGGCTGAAATACACACATCTCAATGCATTAACGGAGAGATGCCAGAGTGGGAATGGATGCTCCTGAGCTGTTGGGGGAGGGGGGTTCAGTGCCTTGCTCAGGGGCACATCAGCAGTACCCGGGAAGTGACCTGGCGCCTCTCCAGAAACTAGACCACTTTCCATACTTTGGTCCATAGTGGGACTTGAACTGGTTACCTTATGATTCCCAACCCAAGTCCCTACCATAGACTGTAAATATAAATGGACGAAGCCTGAGTGACGTCAACCATCTGTTTCTGCAGTGGACTCTGGAGGCTCATCGGCAGCAGCCGCCATGCTGGAAATCCTGTCTCAGTCTAACTTTCAGTCTACCTAACGGCAGGCTGAAAGCTGGAGCTGAGGAGGATTTGAAGCCTCTTGACAAACCATCAATCTGGTCAGCTACACGCCTAACTATGGATAATCTTTAAACTTCATCAAATAAAATGTACCCCCTTTACAGTGAGTGCCCATGAGGACAATAACTAATCAGATCAAAATCATCTTTTGTACCAGGCTCTATGTTTATTTCTGCTGTAAAAACATTTTTGAGTGTGGTGTGTTTGTAACTTCCGGGGCTCTTGGAACCAGCCTCAAGCGGATCGTGCATACTCTTCCGTATTGTCTTCATTTTTCAACACCGTAGGTTAACACTCGGCCCCTGCAGACTGAGCTACTGCCTTAACTGCTTGTATGAGGTGAGAGCCATACTGCTGCTCTACAATATCTCTAACTCTTTTCACAAAGTTAGAAATATTGTAGAAGTTCCCACATCTTCATATCTCCACCTCAAAATAAAAACACAGAGGATTTGGGTATGGATTTCCCCGCTTGGCTACCCATAATTGCTGAAGGATATGACATAACTGTGGCGTTAGACATGTGGGTGTAAATGCCAAACAGATTAGGAAGCGTTCTGTCTGTGAATAATTAGTTCCCTTTTTGTCCTTCTTTTCTTCCCCTACTTATAATGATTTTATCTTTTTCTTTTGTACCTGATGTCTGAAGGTAATCTCACGCACAAGCACAATGAAAGCAGCTTTTGTAGATTTAGCGGTGAGGTTTCAGACTAACAGGCTTGACTCTGACACTCTCCCCCTCTCTCTCACACACACACACACACACACACACACACACACACACACATACACACACACACACACACACACACACACACACACACACACCATTATACACATACACACACTCTGCAATCTATTGAAGCTGAAATAAATTTGGAGATTCAATTAGCTGTGCAAAATGGACTCAGACCGATGTGACCCTGAATCTACTGAAGCTGTTAAGTCAAGACAAGTTGTGCTCCATGACACATTTGATGACTAAACCAATCTGCTGCTAATAAAAAGTTGGACTGAAAAGAGTCAGGACAAAAGTGGAGCAGCAGGGATTCTTCATGCACTTCCTTCAACTATTTTTTCTTGGAAATATGTTTCATAAGAGCGCAGTCACTACCAGGAAATGCTCACATTATCTTACAGGGAAGCGAAAATTTTCAAATTTAATTTTCATCAATGGATAGCCACACGGCTTCTTTAATGATCTATTAAAAATAAATGTAATCAGCAAGCGCTTATGAAATATCTTCATGATCATAACGAAATGACTTTAATAGGCTAGAAATGATCAAATGTTTGATTGGAAGTATCCTCTGTGCATGCAGAGCTGACTGCTTTGGAGATATTTGAATCACACAGCTTCTCATTGTGTGTGCATGTTGCACCTTAAACAGCGCTTCAAATTTCCAAAGAGGAGCGTGTCAGGTCAGGAAGGTGACAAAGACAGCGAAAGATGTTGGATCCCTATGTAGGTCATCATGAGTCACCCACCCTCGGTACAAACTGATAGTGTCAGTGATGCTTGAATCGACCAGTGATTGGTCGATTACAAAGTCATATGGAGACATTTCACAAGTGATGTTAACCTGCATTTTACTCCAGGATTGTATAAAGAACATTTGTGTTACAACTAATATTAATATTTGTCTGCTACTCACATTAAATGTGGTTTCTTTTTATGCAAATTAAAGGTATATTATGTGACTTTCATAGTAGATGTGCAGTAGATGTCACACCAGTCCCTCAAACCAAAACAGAGCTGTCCCTTCAGCACATGCCTACATTTTCTGTCCTATGAAATTCTTGCAAAACCAATTTTTGCCCATTCAAGTCCAACATTGGCCTGTTTTTTTTTTAAAGCTCTTTTTACGTCTTCCACCTATTCTGAGAAAAATGTCTGGCTCTTAAGATGCTAAATACATACCTGTATTCCTTAGCTAGTTCCTAACATTGTTGGCTGATTTGTGCTTAGTAGGTACAGAATGGAGTTTATTTTTTATTTTTTGCTGAAAACAGCCTGTTACAGTGACTGTAATCATTGCTGGTCAGAGCACGGAGTGTGAAATTAAGTTTGATGCCATAAAACCCAAACAGTTGGTTGAAAGATGCTATAGGACGGTGCTAAGACAATGGACTGTTTATAACAGCCTGAATGTGTTTGTCATTATCTGTGAACATAAGTTGGTATGTGCCTATTTTTATCATAAAGGTTATAATAAAGAACTTAAACTGTTTTTTTTTTAAAGTCTGACTGAGTCTGAAAAAAGACAATAAATGTTTCCATCACAGAAGAACTTAAACTGCGAGTCAAATTTGTTCATGTGGAGCCGTCTTAGCTGAACCACATCTGACACCCTCCTTTAGGGATATGCACCTTTACTGCAGTTACCTTGGTAACACTTTCCCTTTGTCGCCATGGGAACACAGCCTAGGATTATTCAATTTGGCCACACACAACATGCACACACATAGACACACATGCATTGGGAGAAGACAGTAAGGTCAATGTGGGATGTGCTTGCACAATCACAAATGCACATTTCATAAAAATACACACACACACACACACACACACACACACACACACACACACACACACACACACACACACACACACACACACACACACACACACACACACACACACACACACACACACACACACACACACACACACACACACAGGATGACAGGTGACAAGTGTCTGGGAATGTGACAGAGAAAAAGGATATGGTTAAGATTAGAGGTCGTGGTTGGCCGTTAGCTGAACAGAGAAAGGTGTAGGATAAAGGAGTAAGAGAGTGTTTGTATGTGTGTGTGTGTGTATGTGTGTGTGTGTGTGTGTGTGTGTGTGTGTGTGTGTGTGTGTGTGTGTGTGTGTGTGTGTGTGTGTTGTGTGTGGGAGCAGATATTGCTGATGACAGCGAGATGTGATGGGGTTAGAAGATTAACCTCACAGGACGAACGACAATAAGTGGATTACATAACTCCTTCCTGTGTGTGTGTGTGTGTGTGTGTGTGTGTGTGTGTGTGTGTGTGTGTGTTACCTGTATGAGAGAGCGTAGTGACTCCACATATGACTGCTCTGTGTCGAAGAGGGTCATCATGACATGTTTTCTCATATCCTGCAAAGAGAGAAACAGAAATTAAAACATCACTTAATTTATATGAAACTTCTGTCACACACTCATGAATGTTATACTGTTCGTGGTTGTTTAACAAAAACAACATAAGGAGACTGCAGACTGGGTAATAGTCTGTTCTTCAAAAGAAAAACATTTTCATATAATGTTCAAGGTCAGCTATCGATTTTCTAGTCTTCTGACTACTCAAAGCGCTTTAACACTGCAGGTCACACCTACACATTCACACACTGCAGAGGTTTCTATGTAAAGTGACCACCAGAAGTAACTGATCAAATTCGAAGAAGCATTGAAAAAAAATAAAACAATGATATTTGTCTAGTTAAGGTTCTGTTCATGGTTTTTACTTTAACCAACCGTTTAACTTTCCGTGTTCACAGGACACAAGGACAGATCTGGGACTCTTAAATGCTGCGCTATACATTTAAATCAGGCATGAATCGATCAAACCTTGGGTGAATAATAATAATGATCTGTTATAAAGCGTGACTTTAAAATTCAATTTATCTAAATGTATAAGATATAAGATCCTTCAGTGTAAAGTTTTGTGCTGAACTTATATTTGGGCAGTTAGTCAATATTAGAGCAAGCCCAATCATCACATCAGCTTTTCTTGTTAGGATGCCTCTTGGTTAAAAGATTATACTACTTCTTAATTTGAAGGAGCAAAAGCCAGCTTGCCTATTGCAGGGGAAGTAGCACCTGCTTCACATAGAGAGAGCGGTTCTGTTGGACCATGACAAGGTTTTTCTAACTTTTCAGTGTGACTGACTGCCCCCTCAGGGTCATGTCAGGAGACTGATATTCAATCCTAAATGTCAGCTAGTGCATACTTAAAAATATACAGCAGGCAATCACAGATAAGACTACCAAACTTGGTACACACAGTCTATCAAACAGACAGACACAGACACACACACTTAGGATTTGAGGTCACCAAGGCCAAGTCCCCAGATGCAAAGCATGACTAAGCAGTTTGCTGAAACAATGATTCATGATTTATGGATAGGAATGAATGAGCTGCAGCAGACACAAACCTATAACACGTTAAGGCCAAGAAAGAAAGCCGAGTCTGAGTGTGTTAGACACAGAGAGAGAGAGAGAGAGAGAGAGAGAGAGAGAGAGAGAGAGAGAGAGAGAGAGAGAGAGAGAGAGAGAGAGAGGTTTTAGAATAAAACAAGAGCATAAGTATCATGGAACAACTCATACTCATTGTCCCAGGGCTCCCAAGGGAGACTCCCAAAATATTCTGGTACTAAAATGACCTATAAATATCAGACCGAGCCACGGGCAAAACCCTATGGTACATATATAAACCCCCCCCCCCCATCTCTCCCTCTCTCCCTCCCTCACACACACACACCACACCACACACAGAGCCCACAAAAACACACACAGCAAGACTTTCTCCCCTCTGCCAGCACTGCTGTGCCCTATAAATGACTGTAACAATGACTTCCCAGAAAGGCTATGTTTAGTGTTTGGCATCTGAAGGGATCCCAAGGGCGCTGTGGGGTACCACCAGAGGGTGAAGGGTGGTGTGTAAAAGAGAGAGAGAAAGAGCATGAAAGTGAATGTGAATATGAGACTTTCTTTCCAAAATCATCTAACAGTTAAGAAAATCTGTTTTTATTTACCCTTTAGGTTGACTTTGACATTTGTGTTAAGTAGTTTAGTTCAGATTTTCACTGCTGTTTCTTTACAGAGGGAGGGATTCAGTCAAGTGTACTCTGCCCTGAGATATAAACACTAACACAATGGAGTAAAGTGAATAAACAGAGGGTTTAGCATAGCTAAAGAGAGAACACAGCACTGCAGTAATCATCCATTTATACTCCACTGTTACAATGCCTCAAAATTCAAAAAGGATTACGCATCTGTTCAAACAACATCTGGGGGGCAGTGTCCCGAGACTCTGAAACCCAGGTTTTCTAGTGTTATTCAACTAAAGTATTATAAAAAAGTAGAGTATGTAGCTGAATCTGATGTAGCGTTGTACTTTGTGGTGGTGGGAGAGAGTGTGAATCATTTCCATGTAATTGCGTTGCTGAACACTCACGGCAAATGTGACATTACTAAATCTAAAAAGTGGCTTCAGTCAGTCTTTTTTGGGGAGGAACTTCCAATGCTGAGTGCTCTTAGTTTTCTAATGTAAGCATGTCTAACCTTGGTGTAATACAGTGAACTTTAAAGTCAACTTTAAGAATCCTTTTAAGAATTGGAATTCTGTTTTTTTGTTTAAAAAAATAATAATGTATAGATGACCTCATCTTGAAAAAATCAATTACATCCCTGGATGTATTTACACTACAAGAATATGTCTGCCTCTCAATGGGGGGGGGGGGAATTTTCAATATGTTTAGCGGCTGATGTGTTTATGTATTTTGCTGTATATGCAGCAAAGAAGAGCTCCTCTGGTGGCTTCAAATGTCACTGAAAAATGACATTCTCCTCATTTTCTGCACACATACATACACATACACACACACACACAACAAAACATCTGCCTCTGCATGAATCGTTCAAACTAATTATACCTCATTACCCCTGATCAAATTAACAAATGCAGATCCACTCTCCTTGTCTCATAACTCCCTAATTGGAATCATTATTTTCATGTCGACCTGACAAAAACAAACAAATGACGTCTGAAATCAATTGCTTTCTCTACAGTATTGTTCAGCACATGCGCGCACACACACACACACACACACACACACACACACACACACACACACACACACACACACACACACACACACACACACACACACACACACACACACACACACACACACACACACACACACACACACACACACACACACACACACACACACACACACACACACACACACACACGTGCAGAAACACAGCTGCACACACACGTGCATACAAGTAAGTTTGATCCTCTGTTCAGTCTTGTGATGCTGGCAGTGTGACCCGACAACAACAAGAAGAAGGCCATGTGTCTGTACGTGTGTGTGCGTGTGTGTGTGTGTGTAAAAGAGAGAGAGTGTGTGTCAATAAGTAAATAAAACAAGGGGGAACTTCCCTGAAGAGAGCGATGACTCTCTGTTCTGTGCTGCTTGACGTTATTAGATTACTCACACACAAACATCAGTATTTAGTCTAATATTGCTAGGAATGCTAGTTTCATTTTGCAAGCATAGTTGCCATAGTAACCCCAGCTGTGAGGGCTCAGTGGTTTGAAAGAAATGCCGCTCTCAGATCCTCTCAGTCAAGCCTCAGACACGATAGTTCAACTGGACACAGTGTAATAAAGAATCACCCACACACCGTTCACTATGATGACCCAGCAAGAGATTGTATCTGCTGTTTCTGTTCTCTTCCCCGTCTCTTTTCTCCTCTTGGACTCATTTTTTTTTTTTTTTTTGCAAGCAGACAAGAGCCCAGAGAAATCTAGCTTGTAGCCTACTGCTTGCGATTTCTGTCAGGTCAGGCATATTTTGAACAACGCCACTTTGCTCCCAGATCTCTCTCTCTCTCTCTTTTTTTCTTTTTTAACGCACAGAACTCCTCGTAAATCATAAAAAATATATAAACACAACTACATACTGTTAAAAGAGTAGAGCAGTGATAAGCTTGCGTCACCTTCAAAATCTTGACAGCGATATATTCAGGCAAAGTAACAAAGTGTACTCACAGGTGTAATAGAAGCTTAACGAGCACAAGCACAGGTGTAACCAATTAAAGGATCCATGTGGTAATTAAAAGCAACATGTACCCTTTGACCACAGACTGTAAATATGAATGGATGAAGCCTGAGTGACTGCAAGGGGGCTTCAGAGGCTCTTTGGCAGCAGCTGCCATGTTGGAAATGGAAGGTCACGCCTTGAGCCTAACTATGCATAACGCCTATCGTCCATAAAATCAAAACAGATGCGTTGTAAAAAATGTCAACCCCCATACAGTGTGTGCCCATGAGGACAATATCTAAATCAGACTTTTGTACCAGGCTGTAAACATGTTATTTTCTGCTGTAAAAACAGGCATTTTAGAATGTGGTGTCTATGTGACTTCTAGGGCCCTTGGAGCCATCCTCAAGCGGACACTCGTAGAATGCAGGTTTTTTTTTTTTGCACTTCCCCATTGGCCTCATTTTTCAACACTGGAGGTTGCTCCATGCCTTATGAATGGAATATCATATCTGTGTTGAAAACAACACCCTTAGACTATATCTTTTCTCAATGTTTATCACTACTGACAGCAAATAATGACACTCAGAGCTACGACACCAGTCCGGAAAGTCATCAATACAAACGTCAACAAAAATGACAATGTACGTACAAGCTTTCTGAGAAGAGGTCTTTCTAAGAAAAAGCTGCTTGAGGACTGAAAGGTTGTCTGCTTCAGTTCCCCAAGAGTGGCGTTCAAGCATCCTCCAGAGGACAGAGCTCTCACACGGGTCAGTTAAGCCCACACCTCACATCACTGCATCTATACTCGGATACAGTCTGACAGGAACATGTTGTTGTTTTGAAGAGCTGTATTCAACATGTTCGGAGGGTGGTCTGAAGTGTGGATACACCAACAGCAGGTAATGCTGCACCTGGTCCAGTCCAGAATCTGTTATACGTCTTCATTCTAACTGTTTAAAGTCTTTGCTAATTGTCTTCAATGCAGCGAACAAGAGAAACAAATGAGCAGAAGATAGTCAAGGTAAATATAATTCTTACACACGGAGAAATATGCTTGAATGTTAGACAAACTGTATCAAGTAATGCATTTACTTTTTCTAACTGGAATTATTTAATTCTCAGCCAGTTAAAGTTGACCTTAGATTTGAAATGTTTGACCGTCTTTTGTTATGACATATTAACCTTAAGACAATTGTCACATCATTAAATTAAGTTCTCTTTATCTTCTCCAGAATCACCAAAGCATGATGAGCTGTGTTAGAGTAACAGTTAAAACCATTTAAAGCTTAATGATCGCCATCTGACATTATTTCAGATAAT